CCCCTAATATGGTTATTGATGCATGGAAAACAAAATGAATAAATCATTCACTATTTGTGGAGAGAGCATGTTAGGTCATATATTGATGAAAAAGACAAGTTCAGTGCACGAAGCATTCCGCGATTACACATAATTTGCAAAAGGGCTGCATCGGAGTATAACGTGGGCAGCCTCAGGGTGAATAGATCTTTGAATAACTTTGAATAACTAAATAGGAAAAAAGATCATAATATATCAAGATAAACCGACCATGTAAAATATATTTACAAAATTATGATATTTATAAGATTATTTGGAGGTATATCTCCATGATAAACTTTAAATTATAACCTAAAAATGGTAACTGACCTGCTAACATATTAAAATTCAATAATAGCGTAAAAAATATTTGCATACTCCGTGCATATAACTTAAATTGAAAACAAAAAAAGAAAAAAAAGAGAAAACCAGAAAATCATGTGTCTTCCTTTGCCAATGGCCATGCTAATCAATGTGATCGTCCTGCTGGCTATAAACCGCTCATAATTGAAGCCAATTTAGTATACTTACGTGCAGAGAGTTGATCAATAAACAAGCAGAAGAGGTACGTTTCGAAATGAAACATAAATTTTAAAATATTGCAACTAGGATTCCTTGACATCTCTATAAAAACAAACTTAAATGCTATGTTTACACCTGCCTTAATCTATGTATTTTCTCTCTCTCTATTCTAATACTCCAATCTCCTTTGTTAGAAAGGAAATAGAAAGAGCTCTAGCATAGTGAAAATGGCCAGTTCTAGTAGTATTAAACTTGTGTGCATTTTCTTCATTCTGAGTATTGTTGTGCCAAGCTTTGCGAAAGAGTACGTGGTTGGAGGCAGAAAAGGATGGAGTCCAGGCGTTGATTATCATCATTGGGCTTATGGGAAAAGCTTTGGCGTTGGAGATGTTCTTCGTGAGTATTGCTTAACAACTGTTTTTTACACAAATAATGACACGTATTTATTTTGAGCTTTAGAACTCTTTAGCTTTAAATGTCTCATTTTATCCGTGATGACATACTGTTAAGGGTCGTGTGGTTGGTGGAATAAGGAATAACAATTTCAGGATAAAATTTTGGTTGAGTATTAATTAGTCACGTGAACAATTTTATACTAAAATAATGAGATTAACTATCCATATAGAAGGTGTGATAGCTGATATGATAGGACATATATATGAATTTAACTATTACTACTCCCTCCGTCCTAATTTGTGGGGTGTTTAATTCGGCACGAACTTTAAAAAAATGAAGACTTTTAAATTTGTGATTTAAAATAAAACCTTGTATGACTATAAATCATCTCATTAAGGGTAAAACATGACGTTTAAAGTTGAGTTATTTATAAATAAGGAAGTATGACATTGTTTTTGGGACTGAAAAAATGCTACTGTATTTTCTAACATTGTTATGAAATTTTCTATTGGTGAAATTTAATTTAACCTGATGAGGAAGATTAATACTTGACTTAATTTCTATATACTTAATTTACAAAAGAAAGAATGAAATTAACAGATTATGATATGTTGACAGGTTTCATCTACCACCCAAAATTGACAGATGTGGCTTCAGTGGATATTGCAAGCTACGCACTTTGCGATAGTGTCAAAACTTACACAAAAGATAACAGTGGGCGCACATCAATTACTCTTGACAAATCTGGGGCTTACTACTTCATCTCTACAAACCAGACACGCTGCTCTTCAGGTCTCAAGCTAGAGTTGCACGTTGTTTGAGAAGCACATTGTAGTATTGTTTGAGAAGTAATTGTTGCATTCTTTTTTCTTTTAAATTTGTCAATTTGTATTCTTTTATTTATGTACTAGTAAGGTTCTGTTAATAATTATGTGAATGTTCTAGTCATTATCTAGAGCTTTCTCTTTGATGATGAACTCTATATTATTTTATTGGTGTACCTCTCATAAGAAGTTAAACGGCTCTATTTTTTAAAGTTCTCCTGTCAATGGATTGGATTTTCTTCACATTTCACTCTTACTGATTCTCTCTAATTTTCTTTTGGAATTATTAAAGTTTATAAATGAAAGTTTAGAGGAGTTTGTAACCAATTTTCGAAGTACAGAAAATAAACTGCAATCACAAAAATAAAAGAAGAATATATTTTATTAATTAATTATAAATATAATTCCATTAATTTCCTTGATTCTTCATTTCGGATTGTTTTCCGTGATTCGATAGTTAGAGCAACGTATTTCTCGAACGTAGGATGATACAGACCTCCTAAGGATGTATTTGACATGAAAGTCGGGTAATACGTTTCTCTTGATCTCTCCTTATTGTTTCTTCTATCGAGGGCCAAAATGGTGCATCTCTCGAGAGAAGGAATTGTGTGGATCTTAAGAAAAAAATATATATGTTATTGAAATATCAAAAAAGAAAACGTCACACTGAATTTTTGATATATTAGAACTACATAAGAAAAAGGTTATACCAATTCAATTGATTGTGTGTAACTACATACTATTGTACTTTCCTTTAAAATTTCACTTACTCTTTACTTACATATGTTTTGATATTATCTATATAGTTTAAAAGTGTATACTAATTTATATGGGACACACGTACAACACACGTGTCTAGAGACTAGTAGTTCATAAATGCGGAAAGAACGATCAATTAAGTAATAAATTAGTCAAAGCATGGATACCATAATCAAAGAAGGATGTAAATTACATGAAACAAGTCCCACCCGCATGCTTTAACCCAAAAACAACACATAAGTACTCGTCACCTCACATATACGTTGTACCCAAATATTTAAACACATAGCAAATAGGCAAACAAGTCCTAATCCCTCAAGTTAAGGTTAACCACGACACTTACCTCGCTCCAAAATCAACTCAAAACTCAACCACGACTTTGCCATTATAACAAGCCTAAGAACCAACCAAATATAGCAATTTATTAACCAAACGATTCAAAATAAGCCTCAGGAACTACCCACGAATGAAAGAGGTTCTATTAAGGTCATTATTGAAAAAGCCAACAAAGGTTAACTCCTGGGCCCGCTTGGTCCAAATCCGAAATTCAGACCAATACCCGATTACCCATTCACCTCCGAGCCCGGTTATGTAATTTGTTTCGAAATCCGACCTCAATTTGAGGTCTAAATTCAAATTTTACAAAAATTCCTAATTCTACCCAAATCCCCAATTTCTACCATGAAAATCAAAGATTTAAGGTTGAAATCTTATGAAATTTAATGGGTAATTGAAAGAAAGTAGGTTAGAGTCACTTACCAATGAATTAGGGAAGAATAGTTCTTGGAAAAATCGCCTCTAAGGTTTTTTAGGGTTGAAAATTTGAAAGAATGTGAAAAATCCTGCCTATCTTAGCTTTTGACCAGGCGCAAATGTCGTAATTGCGACCCGGGGTTTGCGAACCCCACAAATGCGAAAAAGCCTTCGCAAATGCGAAAAAGCCTTCGCAAATGCGAAGCCTTCACACCTCTGCTGCCTTCGCAAATGCGAACCTGAGAAGATCGTAATTGCGACCCAAATCTTGCAAATGCGAGAAACTAGCCCTCAACCCCTACTCGCCAATGTGAAGTATCCTTTGCAAATGTGAATCTTGCATTTATAAGACAGACCTCGCATTTGCGAAGTCTGCAGTCCAACACCAGAACACACATGCACCAGCTATTTTCTACGTCCAAAACCACTCCGACGCTAATCCGAAACTCATCCGAGCTCTCGGGGCTCCAAACCAAATATGCACATAAGTCCAAAAATATTTTATGAACTCGCTCGCGCGATCGAAACACCAAAATAACACTTAGACTACGAATTAGATACCAAATCAAATGAAATTTTCAATGAAACTTATGAATTTCTATTTTAACATCGGACGTCCGAATCACGTCAATTCAACTTCATTTTGCATCGAATTTTGTGGACAAGTCATAGATCTAGTAATGTCCCTATACCAAGCTCTAGAACCAAAATCCAGACCCGATTGCAACAAAGTCAAACTTTGGTCAAATCTTTAAATTCTTTAAACATTTAAACTTCAAATTTTAGACAAAATGCGATAACTCGAGCTAGAAACCTCCTAATTCGATTCCGGGCATACGCCCAAGTCCCAAATTGCGATACGGATCCACTAGGATCGTCAAAATATGGATCTGTGTTCGTTTGCTTAAAACATTGATCGAAGTCAACTGAAAAGGATTTTTAAGGCATGAATTCTCATTTTAATAAGTATTTCACATAAAAGCCCTCCAAAAGAAGATACAGACCGCACACGCAAATCAAGGAAGGAAAAAAGGAGCTGTTTGAGGTTTCAAAAATACAGAATTAAGGCTTAAAACTCTAGATGACCTATCGGGTCATCACATTCTCCACCTCTAAAATAACCATTCGTCCTCGAACGGACATAGAAAAGTACCTGGACTGGTGAAAATGTGTGGATATCTACTCCGCATGTCCGACTCAGACTCTCACGTGGATCCCTCGACCGACTAACCTATCCATTACACTCGAACCAAAGGATAAATATTTGACCTAAGCTATCAAACTTGTCGGGCTAGAATAGCCACCAGATCCTCCTCATAAGTCAACTCCTAGTCCAATTGGACTAAGCTAAAATCTAACATATGGGACAGATCATCGTGATACTTTCGGAGCATGGACACATGGAACACCAGATGGACTACTGATAAACTAGGTGGCAATGCGAGTCTATAAGCCACCTCACCACTCTCTCAAGAATCTCGAAGGGTCCAATATACTTAGGGCTAAACTTGCCCTTATTTCTGAACCTCATCACACCCTTCATGGGTGAAACCCGGAGCAAAACTCTCTCTCCGACCATGAATGCATTATCACAAACTCTACGGTCGGCATAACTCTTTTGCCTAGATTAAGTGGTGCGAAGTCGATCCTGAATAATCTTTACCTTATCCAAGGCATCCTATACCAAGTCTGTACCCAACAACCGAGCCTCCCCCGGCTCGAACCATCTAACTGGCGAACGACACCACCTCCCATATAATGCCTCATAGGGAACCATCTGAATGATCGACTGGTAGCTGTTGTTGTAGGCTAACTCCGCAAGTGGCAAGAATTGAACCTAAGAACCCTCGAAATCTATAACACAAGCGCGAAGCATGTCCTCCAATATCTGAATAGTGCGGTCGGACTGTCTATCCATCTGGGGATTAAATGTTGTGCTCAACTCAACCTGCGTGCCCAAATCACGCTGTACTGCCCTACAGAAGTGCGAGGTGAACTATGTACCTCGATCAGAAATGATAGACACGGGCACACCATGAAGGCGGACGATCTCGCGGATGTAAATATCAGCCAACCGCTATGAAGAATAGGTAACTGCCATACTGACTTGGTCAACCTGTCCACGATGACCTATACCGCGTTGAACTTCCTCTGAGTCCGTGGGAGTTCAACAACAAAATCCATAGTGATACGCTCCCACTTCTACTCTGGAATCTCTAACTTCTGAGGCAAACCACCAGGCCTCTGATGCTCGTACTTTACTTGATGCAACTATATCCTTATTCATCCTTCTCCAACAATAATGCTGCCGCAAGTCCTGATACATCTTGGTAGCACCCGGATGAATAGAATACCGGGAACTGTGGGCCTCTTCATGAATAGGCTCACAAAGTCCATCTACATTAGGCACACAAATACAACCTTGCATCCTCAAAACCCCATCATCTCCGACAACAATCTACTTGGCACCACTGTGCCACACTGTGTCCCTGAGGACAAGCAAATGAGGGTCATCATATTGCCTCTCTCTGATGCGCTCATACAAGGAAGACCGAACGACTATGCAAGCTAGAACATGACTGGGATCTGAAACATCTAACCTCAAGAATTGATTGGCCAAAGCCTGAACATCTGATGCAAGCGGTCTCTCACCAACTGGAATATACGCAAGGCTGCCCATACTTACTGCCTTTCTATTCAAGGCATCGACCACCACATTGGCCTTCCTGGGGTGATACAAAAATGATAATATCATAGTCTTTCAACAACTCCAACCACCTCCTCTGCCTCAAGTTGTGATCCTTTTGCTTGAAAAAATATTGTAGATTCCGATGATCCGTAAATACCTCGCACGACACTCTGTAAAGATAGCACCTCCAAATCTTCAGCGCATGAACAATGGCTGCCAACTCTAAGTCATGAACATGGTAATTCTTCTCATGAACCTTCAAATGCCATGACACATATTCGATCACCTTTTCATCCCGCATCAATACGAGATTTATCACAATACACCGTGTAAGATCCTGAACCTATGGGCAACACCAACACTGGCGCCATAGTCATAGAAGTATTGAGATTTTGAAAGCTCAACTCACACTCGTCAGACCATCTGAATGGGGCACCCTTCTGGGTCATTCTGGTCAATGGGACTGCTATAGATGAAAACCCCTCCACAAACCAACGATAATAACCCGCCAAACCCAGAAAACTCTAGATCTCCATAGCTGAAGTGGGTCTAGGCCAGTTCTGAACCGCCTCAATCTTCTTAGGATCTACCTATATACCCTTTGCCGATACGACGTGCCCCAAGAAAGCTACCGAGTCTAACCAAAACTCGCACTTTGAAAACTTGGCATATAATTGGCTGTCTCTGAGAGTGTGAAGTACAATCCGAAGATGCTGCTCGTGCTCCTCTCGATTATGGGAGTAGATCAAGATATCATCAATAAATACAATCACAAAGGAATCCAAGTAGGGATTGAACACCTGGTTCATCAAATCTATAAATGCTGCTGGGGCGTTAGTCAGCCCAAAGGTCATCACTAGAAACTCATAATGCCCATACCGAGTCCGAAAGGTTTTTTTAGGGACATCCGATGCCCTAATCTTCAACTGATGGTAGTGAGACCTCAAATCAA